TGAACCGCAAGGTATGTGTGGAATGGAACCAGTGGATCAGGAACTCACTGGGGCTGAGATAACACTTAAGTGATTGTTAAGGTTCTTGATAACCTGGAGCGTTTTCCTACTGCTAGACAAACTGATATAACCTACAATTGCTAATCATCAAATGTCCATGTCTGGTCTGGATTAGTCTTTTCTAGCTTTTTTCTCTCTGTTTAATACTGAAAGATAAATAAGATAAATCTTTGCCAAGGTGAATGGGATGGTTCATATCTACGGGAGATCGTTGTTTTATCTTCCAGAATTTTATTGCTCTGGCTGTTCAATTTACAACTTCAAGGTGTTCTGTTCACTCATAACAACTAGAATCTGTTTGGTTTGGGTTTGTTTTTTTAATTGAATGAATGTTATGCCTTAACTAATCTTCATTTCTGAGGCAGAGGCATTCTCAGATAATTCTTCAGTAGACACAAGATTACACTAATCGTATCTTCTCTTGCTATTTTCCACAATTACTCGGTTGTTGTTAGGAATCACAGAGTGGTTTGTTCACTCATAACAACTAGAATCTGTTTGGTTTGGGTTTGTTTTTTTAATTGAATGAATGTTATGCCTTAACTAATCTTCATTTCTGAGGCAGAGGCATTCTCAGATAATTCTTCAGTAGACACAAGATTACACTAATCGTATCTTCTCTTGCTATTTTCCACAATTACTCGGTTGTTGTTAGGAATCACAGAGTGGTTTGGGTTGGAAGTCTTATCTTCTCTTGCTATTTCCACAATTACTCAGTTGTTGTTAGGAATCACAGAGTGGTTTGGGTTGGAAGAGACCTTAAAGGTCATCTCCTCATCAACCCTTTGCCATGGGCAGGGACACCCCATCAACCCTTGCCATGGGCAGAGACACCTTCCACTAGCCCAGGTTGCTTCAAGCCTCATCCAACCTGGCCTGGAACACTCCCAGGGATGGAGCAGCCACAGCTTCTCTGGGCAACCTCTGCCAGTGCCTCATCACCCTCACAGGGAAGAATTTCCTTGGAATATCTAATCTAACCCTGCCCTCTGTCAGTGTGAAGCTCAGAGTAGTTTCAAGCTGCTTTTTTTCCTTCCTGGGAAGATCTTTGCGAGTTCACAGAACTAAGAGAAATAATTTGGCTGTTTTGCATCCATGACCTTTTTGTAGCCTTTGATACCACTCATTAGTGTCTTTGGCTTGATAACTGAGGGGTGTTAGTGTTCTGTTAGCTCTTGTTTCCTGACATTGCCAGAAGTGTCAGTGTAGGAGGAACTGCCTTCTGAGCACTAGTTGTCAGAATCACTTGAGGCTGTGATTACACAGGATTTATTCTGATCCGAGTGTCAACTTATGGTTCTGGTTCCTGCATTTGGCTGCCCCTGTGTGGTAGTGGTTCTGTTGGTTTGTGTCCATGCAGTTCCTGTAGTGAGAAACTGATAACCATTGTTTTGCCAATATATTCCTCTCCTGATGAAAAATAATCACTGCTTAGATAATGTAGGTACTGCAAACTGTTGTGGAGTGAAATTCTGTATTCTGCTTCCTGTAGGCACCTCTGCAAAAATCTCAGTCTGGTACATTACCAGTCTCCTTAAACGTGGCACAGATGGGTCTCAGTAGTTCAACAACCATTTACCTTACAACTTGTGGCACAGATGGGTCTCTAGTTCAACAACCATTTACCTTACAACTTCTGTCTCTAAGCTGCTTCCCTTAATTAATTCTGCCTTTGTTTGTCTCCACGTGCCAAGCAAAACATGTTAGGACTGTAAGAGATGTGCACAATGGATATATTCTCTTTTAACTTCCATAGTATTGCCATTTTGTGGACAACTTCACTAGTCAGAGTGTGCCAACTACAGGACTTAGCATTCCTCTTGCAGAACTGAATGATGGAAGAAGAATAGGTTTAATCACTTGGTTTTAATTACAACAGTTCTTACATTGCAAATGCTGAATAAAGTTTGCAAGGGAAGCAAATTGAGTGGTTATCAGTGAATAAGTTTGTCCCAACACATGAATTCCTTGGAAACTTGAAGCAAATTGTTGTTCTGCAGGCCAAAGTCACAGGCAGCACCTTGAATGGCAAGAAAGAGAAGATGCAGGCTGAGGAGGGTGATAAGGAGAAATGGGATTTTTTGAGTTTTGCTGAGACCTGGACCCCAAACGAAAGCCTAGAAGATCCCCAAAATGAACTTTTGTTTACACATGTAAGTCTTGAAACTTGTAATTTTCTGTTTTCTTTCATTTAAAAATATTACAGCTGTTGTTTGCTTAAGCTTCTCTGCACTGCAGACTTTCCTAACAGAGAAACACTAAGAAAGTAGGAAAAAGTAATGTAAATTCCTATTTAAATATAAGTGAAGTTGGGGAAAGTGCTCTGCTGGGTATAAATGTCAGCTAGAGGCTCCTGATGGGTCCCTATGTTTAGGTGACTGTCTCACCCTCAGAGTCAGAAAAGACCAATTAATTTCTGTTTAAATTACATCTTTAATAACTGAATTTAACTGACTGTGATTTAGAACAGTGTTTGAAAGCCTTTCCTTGTAATGGGCTTCTTCAAAAAGGGCCATGGCACATCAGTTTTCTGTCTGTTTTCTGATAGTGCTATTCAGAATTTTCATGTGAGCATTGGAAATACTTTTCACAATATAGAAGAGGAATGTTGAGTTGCTTTTTCTGCTCTCTGTTCTTGAAGGAATCTTTTTTTTGTTTCTGTCTTCGAGGCACAAATAGCTCCTTGTATTGCAGAGCAGTGTTAATGGAGAAGAATAATCATGCTAACAGCTTCTGATGCAGGCAAGTGGGGTTTAGAGGTCTTTTCCAGCCTAAATGACTCTGTGAGTCTGTATTTCCTTCCTCTTTGCAGTTTGAAAAGGACAAGCAGCATGACATTCGTTCCTTCTTTTCCCCAAAATCCTCCGCTGAGAAGAAACGCAAAAGACTTTCTGGCAATGAGTCATTACACAATGATTCAGAATCTTCTGAGGCCACAGCAGAAGAGGATGCAGAGAAGAGGAATGAAAACCTGGATTCCACGAGAATGAGTGACGTGGCTACAATCTGTCAGGAAAGCACCTGTGAACATGAAGCCAAAAGAGCAAGAAGCATAAGTGGATCTACCCCAGTCAGCTCCAGTCACGAACAGAAAACATCTGTGACTGGAAAAGAGCTCTCCTTGGTTCCAGAACAAAACAGTGAAGTCCATCCTTGTGGCTTAAATGCTTCAAGCAAAAGTACAGCTTCAAATAAAGTTTGGCACTGCAGTGTTTGCACTTACACCAACAATGATCTGCTGCCTTACTGCGAGATGTGCAGCTCCCCTCAGAGCAGTAAGGGTAAGTAACACGTGCTCAGAGGAAAAGGTGCATTTGTCATTGCAGCTGGGATCAGCTTCAGCAAACAGAGTCTTTTTGGATGTATGACTACCCATGAGTCCAGGCAGTGTATGAAGAATTGTGTCTTTACTTGAACCTGCCAAGTGATCCTTCTTAATTTTGCTTTCCCCAAGGATCTTTTACATGTGTCTGATTTGAAACAAGTGGAAAATCCACATAAATGTTAACAGGATATAAATTCCATGAGGAAGAATATATCTCAGTTTTCTTTGCAGCAAATGTAGCTCTCCTTTTCCTTGAGGTTTATGGTTATTCTGAGTGCAATTAAATGGCAAACTCTTTCTCTGCCTTTCAAAACTGAGCAATGTGGTGTAGGTGTTTTATTAACCTGAGTGTTGTGTGTTTGTTGTGAGAGACATTACCTGGAAAATATGGCATTTCTTGCCTCAAGAGATCAGAGCAGATTTCTTTTACCAAATTTATTTCAGCTAGCTGGGAAATTAATGAAATGTTTTTATAAGTCTATGCCCAGATTTGGCATTTCAGCTGCAAAGGAAGGACTAAGGTTCTTTATACTTCTTTTATTATTTAGTTTATTTAAGTCTGTGTTTATTCAAGTAGGGACAATTTCTGAATTTCACAGGTATAGACCAATGCCTGGCAAACTACTCTGTTATAGTATACAGTAACTATATATAATAGAGAATTGCTAACTGCATTGTTCATTGCATGTCTTTTGGCATTAAGTTGGGTGCATGAAAATGAAAATAAGTAAAGTAATAAATGAAAAACCTCGTTCCATGTGATTATTCTTCCAATATTAAAGTCAGCTCTAGTTCCCTGGGTGATTGCACCATAATGATAGTGGAGAATAAAATGCCATCTCTCTGTATTCCAGTGACATGGTCCTGTCTCCACATGTGTGTGGGTTAGGTACCTTACAGGGAACAGAAATCATCACTTCTCTTGTTTGTTTGTCTTTAGTTGAGAGAAATGGCGAAACTCCCACAAGCCAAACTGAGGAAGATGTGTCCAAGGACTCCAGAAGAAATGGAGAGAGAGCAGAGTGCAGTGCTGAAGACAGGAGAGAAGATTTGAGGGAGGTGGTGACCCAACAATCTGTTGAAATCAGCAAACAGGAAACTATTGGCATTGAAAAGGAAGAAAGTGAACAAAAGTGTGGAGAAGGTAAGGTGGGAGTGCTATGAAAGAGCAATTATAGCCCATTGTGAAACTGAAATGGCTCTGGCAGGAAAAACAGCCTTGAAACAAAAGCCTCCACACCTGAAGGGTAGACAGAAGTACAGACAGTAGCACATGACTTTCTCAGTTTAGCCTGGGATGGTTATTGAGTGTTGATGACAGATAAACTTTCCATGCAAGTCCTGGAGCAACACAGTTCTGGCTGACTCAAGAACTGTGTCAAACTGGCAAAAGGGGAATCTGTGCAGTTTTATTGGAACTTAGGGCATTTACTTGTGCTCAGGACAGCCACAGGCTAAAGAGAGGATAAGTAATTCAGGAGAGACAGAGCAATAAAATACACAAAAATCTTATTAGCTTGTGCTTGAGCTGTGCATCTCATGGTGTTGTTCTGCCAGTAGATACGTGTGTGATGTTACTTTCGGTGCCTGAGTAGAATGAATGAAATGAATGAAGAACAAATTTTTCATGTCAACATTTTTTCTGTTCATAGATGTAGGTAAATCAGACACATTCCAAATCTATGATGGGCTTTTGTTTTGTGCAAGCAGAAACACTGACAGAATTCACCTCTATACAAAGGTAAACCTGAGCTGTGCATGTTTGTTGTCATTTTAAAACCAGAGTCAGATGTTTTCCTGTGCAAAATGTGGGTAAACTTTCATTTGTTACTGATGTTTTTTACATAAAGCATATTTTTGTATCAGCTGAAATGTACCAAAATTAGGTAGTTTATCATTCCAGTTCTTTTTCTTAATGGAATGAAGCAATAATTCCCTCGACTGATGACTTCTAATGCTTCTTGGCTTACAAAATTGGGCTGATCTGTTAGATATGTGTTCAGATCATCTGTTCAAAATTCAAAGAAAAATGACAGTGAATCCTGACAAAGTAAATAAAGTATTGTCACCACATATTCTGAAGGCTCAGCATTGGTGCTGTGTTTGAGCAAGTTCCTGAGTAAAGCAGGATAAAGATTATCACTAATCCACAATGGTAATGGAGCACAGAGACTAGGACTTGGTCATTTTCCAGGTCATTATTCAAGGGGGAGTCAAGATTTCTCAATTCCTTCTTTTATGTGGTAGGAAAGTTCCATGAGATTTATTCAAACTCCTGAGTGACTTAATGTATTCAGGTGCAACTGCAAAGCAGAACAAATAGTGAGGGCAAGTCTGAGATGAGAAGTTTTTAGTAGGCTGATACTGCTGGGAGAAAGTCAAGAGTGTCCTCTTGTATCTGAAAACTTGTTTAATATACTCAAAATGTGTTCTGGTTCCCAGCTCTGCTCATTTTATACAGACAAAGATGCACTTTGGATAGTATTTGGGCAACTGGTTTGGATGTGCTTTGATTAGGGTTTCATTATGCCAAATACTGCACAAGATCTGCTGAATGGTGAGACACCAGGGAACTGTGCTCTGATTCCTTCTCTCCAGTGTCTGTGAACCATCAATAAATTCTGGGGTCATATGTACCCACTGGGACAACTTGTTCCTGTGAAAATTAACTGAGGAACTTTTTCAGACATTAAAGTTCAGTATAATAAACAATGCTCAAAAATTTTGATTTGAAATTGTAATGAAGTGACTTTCTCCAGTCTACAAACATGAATTTCCCTTAGAAATGCAGACAAGGACTAGAATTTCAGTTTCTCCATATAAAGCAGTTTGTGTGTCTGAACTATTTGCAGAGACAAAAATCAGATCTATTAAAAGTTAAAACTTTCACCCCTTTTAGATATGTTAATGTGAATCATATTTCTTGTATTTATGCTGTTATCAGACCTCTGTGCCTTGTTTGTTCTGGAGGAATCTGACCTTGAGGCACTACATTCAGTAGGAAGGGAGGATAACTCACATGAAACAGATTGTTTTTTCCTAGATTATGCTACATTACATCTGTAAATAAACCTGTTTGCTTGTCTAGGATGGTGAACCACTGAATCATAATTTCATCCCACTGGACATACAGCTGGATAACTGGGAAGACTTACCAGAGGCTTTCCAGCATAAAAAAAATCGTGCAGTGGTAAGAGCAAGTTCTACTGGCACAGCAGTACAATATATACAATGTTTAGTACAAGGAGCTCTGACTTACTGTTTGAAAAATAAATGCAGAATACTTCCAGGCCTTGGCATCTAGGCAGTTTCATCATAGCAAGCAGATCTTATACATGTTGATGGGAATATTAATTATGCAGTCTGTTACTCTGGCAGGTTATGCTGCCTCCTGGTAACATTTCAGTAGCAGGAATCAACCAGGCATCATTTCATGTCTCACTTCGGGTTAGTAACTAACATTCATCAGTCAACAGAATAGCTCTGTAAGGGTTATGAGTGAAATGGGGCACACTGTGAACAGGAATGTTCCAGATCGTGTCAGAGCTCAGTTCTGAGCAGACTCCACTCTCTGCCTTTGATCTGCTAACAGTTCTCCCAGCAGTGTTGGGCACAGCTCCACTGAGACATGGAGCTTCAGTTTAGGAGTGAAGATCCCACTCCTAATGGGGTTTGAGGAGAACATTAACACTGCACACCCAAGTACTCAAGTAAAGAAATAATTGGATGCAAAGTATTACCTGCTTAAGTTTTCTGCTTGGAAAATCAGATTTTATCATATGGGAACAAAACTGATTATTTTGCCTTATTTCCTACCTTCTGGATCAACATGTGTGGCAAAACTCTTCTTGCAGCCCATGCCAAAGCTGTCAGAGTTCTTCAGCAGGTGTGGGGGGGTGGCAGCTTCTGTGAAGAGTAACTTGAAGGGACCATTGGTCATGCAGCTGTTTTCAGCCAGCTGAATGCTCTAACCCACAGCACTCTCACTGGAGTTAGCTCTGTGTAATGCCTGTCCCGCTGCTGACAACAGTGTTCTCTGCAGATACTGAGGTTTGTCAAAGAATGGACTCAGCTAACAGCAATGAAGCAGAGGATTGTCAGAAAAAGTGGTCAGATATTCTGCAGTCCTGTCCATGCTGCAGAGGAGTTGTCTAGAAAGCAGTCAGTGGGCAGCAGCACAAAGAGGTATGTGGGCTTTGGTTTCAGTTCCTCCTAATTGCTGCAGGAAGGTTGATACACTTAATGTGACTTTCGGCAGAATGATGCTGAGTGTAAACTGGTGGTGCTTGTCACACAGTGGCAGACAGGCAGCCAGGCATGTTGGTAAATCTGTTGGAGTGGAAGTGTCTGCTCTCCCATCCAGCACTGCCACGTCCAGCAGCTGTTCTGGCTTCGCTGCACTGCAGTGTTTAAACATCTGGAATTTGGCAGAGGTGTTTGAGGGAAAAATCCTGACCTCAGGGACACAACAGGAAAAGTAAGGTCAAAGAATCTTGTTGTTTTCCCCACCTGGAAGCAGGAATAAATTGTTAGCTGCCATCAATGTTTTGTTCATGATTCACAACCTACCCTAACCCTTTCCAACGCTTGCTTTTCCTTCAAGCAGTCTGTTCTCTGTGGATGACATCTCTCAGGAGTGTTGCTTTCCTGGCTGGGTGTCACTGTAAAGGGCTGCTGGTTAATCCTTGTTAGAATCTCAATGTAGCTTTCTTCATTTCTTCCCTCTTTCTGACATGGTCTTCCCTGACAGACACTTAGAGCTTCAGTGTTGTCACTGCTCATGTACAGGCTAACTCACCCCAAGGCCTCTGCAAGCTGTGTAAAACCTTACTCCTCTCAGTCCCTAGTGTTACATTCTCCAGGGTGAGCTCTGTTCTGGCTGTAGATTAGAATTAAGAGTTTGTAATATAAGAAGTAGCAGGTAGTAAATATATCTTAATCTCTTGCTGATTGTGTTCTGTT